TTTTTTTAAGATTTTATTGTTAAAACCAACATGGCCAAATTCACACATAATATCAACTCACAACAACTGGTTCATATATCTTGCTAAGGTATGTATTTTTTATGTGGCTGAGTGCACTGTGTGAATCCAGGGTGACTCTAGCTTGTTCTTGGTTTATTCAGTAAATTGTGCTTAAAATCTGGCTTACAATACATGATCATAATGACTATACTATTCACAGAAAACATTTGAAGCCAAGGATAATAAGTTGTTGGATTTATCTGTCCATAATGCTAAGTGATAATAAGTGAATTTGCACATCATATTAAACCAAAAGCAGGCATAGTGTTATCTGTGAATGAAGTCCATATGCTAATGTTCCCTAGGGGATAGAATAAAAATCATGTTTAGAAAAAATTGGCAGAAGGAAAAGTTGAATGTGTTTATTTGCATGCCCGTATTTGACACGTGAGTTGTTAATGTTGCTATTTGCATTAATCAGCCATGTGAATGTTCTCTTACCTTTATAGATCCTAGTAAACGAAATCGTGGGGTCCTCGGTTCCATCGCACTTCTTTGTTTGGCAGGGACCACTGTTTACTCGGCTATCCACCATCTTGGCTGGATCTGCAGAGCCTAGGCAGCATCCATTCTGGTGACTCTCTAAGATGTCTTTAAACGTTTCACTCATGTAATTTTTATCATTACTTTGTAAAAAAATAAAAGTGAAAATCAATCACTTCTGGTCCCAACATCCCCTTCTTGGTAAATCTCAATAGCTTGCCAGCTTTTTTTGTTCCTAACACCAGACATTTCTGTGGTGGTTAGCATTTCCCTCTTTTTTGTAATTGTAGGCACTGCCTGGTAAAGGTTACAAGCCTTCTTGAATGTATCTTTACTCTGAGCAGCCTTTGAATGTGACGTGCAAAAAGTCTCTTTTCAGTTTGATTTCTGATACAAAATATATATGTGTGTGTGTATATATACATATATATATGTATACATATATATATAGAGAGAGAGAGAAAGAGAGAGAGAGAGAGAGAGAATCTTAAGTGCAATATCAGAGCATGCAGTAATGTAGGCTGTACAGTTTCAGATACATTCTAGAAACACACACACCTCCAAGTCTAGGACTTTCTCCCACTTAGTTATCATCTCTGGGCTATGACCAAGCAACAGCCACTCTCAAGCAATGCTTGTTTGACATAGTCAAATCGAAGCTGGTAATACCATTCAGTTTCCCATGGGAGAGAGCCTGAGATACGTTATGGGACCAGCTATGTATCTCACACAGAGAGGAGGCATTACCTTAGCCCAATGAAATGTTCTCTCCTCAGCACTTCTGACAGGAAGGCACAAAAAGATACCATAACCACTACAGACATGTCCCTTTGACTCAGAACAGGTTGAAACTATCAAACATGTTCTTCTGAACTGCCACTTTTATACAGACCCAAAAGTGCTCTAATTATTCCACTTGTGACCAACAAAATGGGATGCACCAACTGACATTATGTACGATTTCTGTTTTCTGACATCCTGAAAAAACATACAAGGTGGCCACGTTTTGTGTGGTAGCATACAAAATCAGGCAAAGGATAATTAAGAGCAAGTGAACCTGTCTTGAGTATGGATAGTCGGTATGGATAACTGAGTGTGGATAACTCTTGGTTACTTACACCCTTGAAGGTAGGTCTTGGGGTGTACATGCCATACATATCATTTACTATAAGCAAAGTTTATAATCCCCAAATCCCTTCTGGATTATTTTGTTGCTTTATTTATCTATATTTACTTGAATTTTATGCTACCATTTTCAAATTTTTACTACTCTGTTAATTTTAATCCCCCCCTTTTTTTTTTTGGTTGCACATGGGTAGCTGGAGCAAGCATCTTAGCATTCTCTGTTTTTAATACTGTTTTAGCCAAAAATTTATGTATGTATTTTGTCTAACTCTTCTGATATTGTTGATTCCGCTTCAGATATTCACATATCATTTCCTTTGTGTTGGATAATGACTATAATAAAGTTTTTCAGTTCTTCTTAACTGCTGGCCAGGTAAACAAAAGAGGCTGGGAGGTTCCAAAGAGCTCTTTGTAGATGAATCTCAGCTTTCCAATGCATTGTTCCATCTTCTATACTCTGTGCATCCAAATATCTATGCTGGTTGTCACAATAAGTATTCACACTTTTTTCTGGCCTTGTATGTTTCGTTCTTGTTGGATATTTTCAGTTCTTTTCTCAAAGAAATAAAGCCTTTCATTCATAGCAGCCATGTAATCGTGATATATTTTTTTAGTCCATTTCCATTTATCAGCTCTAAGTGGTGCCAGTTGATGGTTTGATTCTTCAGCTCTCTTTTCTTGTTCTTCTCTTTGCCCCATTTTCTGGTCCACTAGTAGCAGAAGGATAGGTATAGAGCATGGTAGGATTCAGACTCATAGAAAAAAGAACGAAAATACTATATAGAGAATACAAGCATACATTAATATTTCCAAGGATAATAGTCTGAGGTATTTTAACATCACTTGGTATCTTTCTCTCCCTAAACTTTCAGGATTCCTTGATTCTCCATAGTGGCTCCTCTACAATTCTTGCTAAGGCTTCCCATACATCGGTTGCCCAGCTGCAGCTTATTAGGAGATATTGGGCAGATTGAGTTTGGCTCATTTCAGCTGGCAAGCCACAAGTAGCATTTTCACACACTAATCTTGTTATCAAGTGCTGACTCCAGATCTGTGGAGGTGCATCATTCCCAACTTAGAGCATTTGAGTTAACCTGAATTTGATTAAAAGAAGCCAAAAGGTTGTGTTGCTCTGCTGTCTGTCAGAACTGTTCAAAAGATCTCCTTAATTCAGATAAGCTATGGGCCTGGTGATACACGTTCCAAAGATGGAGTTCATCATTCTTGCCAGATGGTGGTAGCACACTTGCCAGAGTGAATATAGCAAATGTGAGTGTAGACTTATGCCTGATTACTAAATTCTGCTTAAAAGAATTTCATATCCCATCCTGATTGTGGCATTACAATGTATTGTTACATAACATCTAAGTTAGACCTAGAATCTTGAACGGTGAAGTTGGAATAGAAATTTGCTGTTTCTATGACATACTGTATTTGTTCTTGATAGATATATCCAAGAGCTGCCTCGCCAAGCCAAATGCTGCCTTATTTATATAGGGTGTTCTTGATGGCTAGATACTTTCTCTTTGTTCTGTTGCTGCTTGTTAGCGACTACCAACAGAAGTTAAAGTGATGCTTGTAGTTTTCCCAAAACTAGGAATGAATCACCAACAAATCATGGCATGTCTGTCTGCCAAATTGCCTTGATTTGTTGGTGATTATTTTTAGACCAATCCATCCAAGAATGCCAGCTCTCTTGAGATTAGAGCCTTGAATTTAAAGGGTGGAAGTTTATGTGGCAAGATGGAGTGGGAGCATGTTGGTCTGGCACATTAATGAAGCTGGTCCCATAGCTTGCTTTTCAGTTGTGAGAAAAATACAGAATTGCCGCAAGTAGAAAAGTGGGATGTTGAAAACGACTTGATGGCACATAATAATACTAAAAAAAAAATGGTGCAAAAATAAAAATAGCTTTTACAGTCCTCTTTATAGCAACAAATCATACAATCTGAATTATCAAACAGCAGTGTAACAAGACATGAATTTTTTTAAAAATGCTTTGACATTTGTATCATCGATATAGACAAAACAACGGAGGGAAATTTGGGTGGATTTCTCCAAAACACTCTTGCCCCAGTGTCCAAAAAAAATCATTTGCAATATGCGGCTAATCTGCTTCAGCGTGACCTAATTTTTGAATGTTGAAAAGCTAAACAACAAAAAAATACTCGAAATAAAACTTGTGGTAGAAAGAGCAAGTGCTTCTCTTCGTGTTAGTCCCGTGGTGACTCTGCCCGTTCGATCTCTACTAACCAATCACAGCTTTCCCTTAGCGTTCGATTCTCCATTAATTCCAAAAAGTAGATCGTGGTCCACTTTTTAAAAAAGGAACCTCCGAACGTACTAGGAAGCATCCTGAAAGGCTCCGCCCAATCCTCTTGTTACTCTGGTGAAGGGGGAGTGACTGAGGGCACCGGGAAGCTACAGAGCTTCAGATTCGGCTCTGCGCATACGCGCTGGCGCTCAGTTCCTGCCAAGCCCTGAATCTTACCGCTGCGTTTAAGAGAGAGGCGCGGGAATAAGCGCCATAAAGATAATGAACCGCCAACGACCGGCGTCCGCTTGCCTTCCAGCAGCTATTGCAGCGCTGAGCCTGAGCCTGCCTGGCTCGCACGTTTCTCCAGAGACTTTCCGGCAAGCCAAGTTCGACCAACCCCAGGTGGTGGGTAGGGAAAAGGGGAAGGGATTCTGTACATGCTCCTGGGCGCTCTCGTAACTGGGTGGTACGTTCAGGCACTGGGCACGAGTTTGTGTTTACCGGCAGTGTTTGTGCTACACATATTACGCCACTTTAAGAAGTGTGGACTGCAACTCTCAAACGGCTTGGCTGGCTGGGGAATTCTGAGAGTTGCAGTCCACACATCTTAATGTGGCTGAGGCCGGGAAACACTGTAGTAGGGTAACCGCTGCCTTTGACTAGAAGCCTTCCCGCCGGAACGGTGGCCGGGCCGGACGTTTTGTCAAGGAAAGGCCTCTGTTCGGTGCAGCGCAGCCTTTCCGTCGAAAGTGACGGAGGCAGTGATGCTCTTCCGTGAAGATGGCTTTCCTACGTTCAGGGGAAGGTGACCTAGGAAACCGTTTCACTTGCTTCATCTGCACGGAGCTGCTTTCACCTGTTTGACAGAAATATTGTAACCATACTTACTGATAGCTGGAGTTTTTAACACGAGGTGCTGCAGCTCCAATCTGCTAATTTGTTTTGTCAGCCGCTGTTACTCTTTTTAAAAGAAAGTTGCTAAGTAATAGGTGAATAGAGAGTGCCAAGTAACAAGAAAAAACGATAAAACAAATGCAAAATCATGATAAAATGCAAAAAACATTCCATCACTATAAATAGCTAATGAAATTTAAAAATTATATTCATTTGTGGACACATCCAAAAAGCTATGTGTCTCCCTGTTATATAGATATCAGGTGTACATTTGTTAATACATTGAAACATGGAAATTATATCTCTGAATTAATTCAGTTACAATATTCTTCAAAATAATCGTTACATGCTTTGAATGGTTCTGCAGTTGAAATATCCCTATTCTATTTATTTTTCTCTTAACAATTGGATAATATTTGCACTTTCAATGACAAGCAATCCTGGCAGCCATAAAAGAAACCTAAATATTAAATACCATGTTTTAAGAAAAAGAACAGTATCTGTTGGTATTTTACGAATTAAACAATTTACTATTCTTTTATCTTTTGTAGACAGTGACCCTTAGAATTGGACTAGGATCTACAAAAGCTTATGCAAACATATATTGCTTAGATTCTTAGGTTTTTTACCACAACAACAATAACCACACCTCAGGATAAAACATTTCAGGAAAGAAGCGCATATGAAAGATTAACAACAAAGTAAACAGGTTTTAAACATTATGGGTATAGATACAAATATTTTGGATATTTCATTAAAAATCTTCAACCAATTTGAATATGTAAAAAAGGATCGCTGCATGGAAAATGTAACTTCTGAATTACATCTGCTTAAACATTTCAGTGACAGATTTGATGCTGCTATTAATTGATGGGCATATCATTCCACTAGTCCTCTATTTTTATAACTACTATAGTTGGTTTCTTTAAGAAATGATATCTTCTTTCCCCATAGTTTCTTTGCAATATTAGAGATAGGTAGATATACATAAGATGCTTTTTGCAGTTTCATCTTTAATCTCTAATTAGTCATTGCCATTTCAAACTTCAAGTCAAACTCAATTTTGAGTGATTACATATATGCCATCTAGTTTTCTTGATGTATCAATTGGAAGTGATTTGCCATTGTTCCAGTCTAGCTTGCAGTCATGATATTTCCTGATGATCTCCCATTCAAGTACTAGCGAGACCTGACCCCGCTTGGTTTCTGACTCTAGACATATTGTGCCAGGTTCAACAAATGTTTTGTTGTTATTGTTGGTAGTTTATGGGATGGGACAAAGGTTTGCCGGTTCAAGCAAAGCCATATAAAGTACAGCAAATGTTTTCAATATTGTCTATTTTAAACAGAGTGCAACATTCTGGAAACTACTATACTATCTGCTGAAGCAGATCCATGGTGGAGGACAGATAGAGTCTGCTGACCCAGGTAGCAAATTACTATGAATGTGAGAATGCAGTTTGGGAGGCAGAATGAAAGTAGCAAAACTATTATATTTCTTTATAAAATTTATTGACAGCCTCAGTCTGAAGGGTGGTACATGAAATAGAAAACGTAACAGAGTTGGACGGCTATAACAAATTTGAATTAATAATAGTAAAAACAGTAAAAGTATAAAATCTCTTCAGACATTAAGAAGCCTTTGAAAATCTTTGCTTGGCACTGAAATTACAGTGGTGTCAGATGAGCCTCTCAGAATTTTGGAGGAGCAGCACTTGCTCCAACAAAAATGCCAGTTGGGTGACTATTTGATAATGCACCAGGCTCAGCAAGGTAAATGTTTTTTTGTTGCTCTCACTGCCAAACAGTAGCAGTAAATTTTAGCATGTGCTCAGTCATCCTCATAGAAAGTCTTATACCTAGTAAGTCTTACATGTGCTCCATCTGTATCCAGCCTGCTTCAGAAAATCATAGAGATCTTCAACTTCCACAGCATTGGAGAGAGTACTCAGGTGCAACGATATTGATAGCCTCACTATTTGATGAGGATTGTCAATCTAGCAGCCAGAAATAGGTCTTTACTCACTGCTGGGGAGCACTGGTGCTTTGAGAAATGCTTCACCAAGAAATAGTTTGACCATGACCATAATTATTTCAACTGCCCACCATTACACTACCTCTGTCACACTGAGGGTAAGATCTCATCAAGGGTATGTCCTACTCTGATGCCTAGCAAACATGTATTGAGAACTCAGTGATTGCAACTGAGACCATGAAATCCTGATTGGATTGTTTCAGGCAGCTTCCTCATGAAGTCTCACAAGCATCTGATAATTGTTTTATTATGGGTGCCTTCAAGTCTGTTTTGACTTCTGATGACTGCCTCAACAAGTCCATGTAGTTTTTTTGGCAATATTTTGAGAAGTAATTTGCTATTGGCTTCTTAAGGTTGAGGGAGGGTAACTGGCCCAAGGTCACCCAACTGGCTTTAGCATCTAAGACAGGACACAAACTCAACTAGATAATGTCTTTGTTTCTTCTAAAAAAGTGCAGAGCTGCTTTGGCACGAAGCCCTGCTGGTAATGTGATATGCTACTCTCTGCATGAATTCACTGTATGCTATTATCTCATTCAAGAATGATGCTGTCCAAAACAGGAGGCATGTGTGATACTCTCTAGCCTTCCCTCAAGAAAAACTGTAAAATTTATGATAGCAATCTTTAAGTACCTGAAAGGACTTCCTATAGAATAATAGGTTAAAGTTATAAAAAGTCAGGTTCCATTTGAATGTTAGGAGAAGAATCAACAGTAACAATAATTTGACAGTTGAACCAATTACCCAGAAAGGTGGTAAGTTCTCTTCCCTGGAGATGTTTGAACAGAGTTTTGACAATCATCTTATGTGGATACATTCAATTTGATTTTTGCACAGAGCAGGGTACTGGACTCAATGGTCTCTTCTAATTTTATAATTCTACAAAGCCTTCGTTTAATAATTCAGTGAATTCAGGGATAATGGAAGATCATTGTTTTCATTTTGAGCACTAGTTTAGTATTGGGGGAGTAGAGATGGTACTGACAGACTAATACATAATTGTTACTGCCAGAGGCTCCAACCTTGACTGTCAAAAACTGTTTGTTAAAAAGGGGGGACTGTGAACATGTCCTCCTAGATTGCTATGGAATGAATGAACTCCTGAGCTGATGAATTTGATCCCCTTGCCTTCAAAACTTTGATTCTACTTGCTTTAACATTTGGCACTATTTTTTTTACTAATTTATGATTCTTTGAATTGTAATACGTAATCAAAGTTTTCCTTATCTCCTCTTTAGGTACCCAAGTCAGATTTGTCAAATGTGCAGCCTTGAACTATGGCTATAGAAGGCTAAAATTTTACCAGCTTCCTACTGATGGTTCAGAAGGGAGCAGGGAACTACTGTTGGCATTTTCCTGGTTCCTTTGCAGAATTGCTCTAATGGAAAAGTTATTGACACTAAGTAGATTGAAACTTTGGGATGAAGCAACAGTATGCATGGTGAGTTAAAGTGGTTGAAGAATAATTTTCACCAGTAGCCAAATAACGAGATAGAGAATGGGTCGGTTGATTTTGCTTGATGAGAGTAGCAATAGAGATGGATTTTTTTTAATGTACTCCAAACAGATGAACATGTTCCCAGCATGTTTTGTGGAAACAGTTTAAGAGACAGATGGCTTAAAACAACTGAATGCATACCATTTTACTTAGAGCTGAAGTAGAAAAGTTGTTCCAGGCAGATTAGAAGTTACACTAATTTAAAATATTTTAGCTTCCTTACTGAAAGACATCTGAAGTGCAGTCATCCTCTTTTTTTTTTTTTTGCCTTTGGGTTCTCTACATCTGTTGTTGATTATCTCTGCGTAGAAATATTTCAAATAGTATGAGGATATATTGTAGAATTCATTAGGATGTTTTTGCTTTTGTTATTTTTCAGTACTTCTTTATACTGTGGTGCATTGTAGTAAAATTTCAATAGTTTGTAGGAATGCACTGTTATATATCTTGATTCCAGCAAATCATTTGACAAAATATCTCATGACATTCTGATTAACAAGTTAGTTGTTATTTTTTGACCCATCTATGTATCGACTTAATTGTCATGCCATCCATTTAAAGGGACACATTTGACATGTTTAAAAAATTGTACTCAAAAGAGTGATAATCAGTGGTTCCTCATCCAAGGTGGGGGGAGGCTTTGAGTGGATTGCCACAAGATACTGTTCTTTGCACTCTGCACAGATATATTTATTAAAGATTTTGAAAGGAATTTTTATGAATTTGTAGAAGATACAAAGTTGGGTGGCTAACTCTACAAAATAGAAATGAAATTCAAACCGATATAGTAGAGAAATGAGCTGAAAGTAGCAGAATGAAATTTAGCGGGGACAAATACAATTTTTATGTAGGAAACAAAAAATCCACTTATATAGAATAGAGAATACATGATTTGGTAACAATACCTGCGGGAATACCTGTAGGAGTAATAGTTGACTGCAAACTGAATATAAGTCCACAGTATAATCATGGCTGTAAAAATGAATGGCTGAATCTCTGTTAAGACAGGAGTTTCCCTGTTTTATTCCATGGTTGATAGTTTCTTCTGTTTTCAACATTACCTTTTCACCTCTCTGCTTCTCCTAAACAGGAAAAATGAATGAATATTATATCCCTTATTATCTTAAAATAAGTCCAATCAGTGAATTGTGGTTTCAATAGCCAAATGTATTTTTATAAATTAACAAAATTATGCATACTACATTTAATAAAATAATGAAGTGATTTTTTATCTATAACATTTTTAAATTTCCCTCATTGTTCTCTCCTCTCCTGCCCCCCCCAAAAGAAGCTTTAAATGTTATATACCTCAGCTGGTGAAGCCAGTACGTTAACGCTTCATTCATCTGTTTCTGCATAATTAATTGAGTAAAAATACCTCTTGTCCTTTTGCGTGGTTTTTATTTTGTGAGCTGGCTAAGCAACAAGGCTTTGTCTTGGGATTTAACAGCTGTGAAGTATGCATAGAATGTTGACTGCAACCAAGAACAGACACATTTGTAGCATAGGACTACTTAGACTGATGTCAAAAACTGGACTTCTGCGTTGAGATATAGTGTAGTAGTGTATCTACTATGATTTGATACCCAAGATTTGTGGCTACTTACAGATCATTACTTATAGACTAGTACTAGTTGATCCATTCAAATGTAACATTTGTCATGATTTCTGACAAAAGTAATATATATATCTTAGTTGAGTCTGCAAAATGATGTCATCCTTTTGAAATTCACACCTTGTCTCATAAGCCAGTCGTGCAGGTGTGCTACTTAATTTACCAATAGGTGGCAGTTCAAACACAACAGAATATTTTTGTAAAGGTACTTCTTCCATTGCATGTTGGTTCTATATTAAAAGCATTGTAGAGAGAGTTAGTTTTTTTCCTCAATGTAGAATGTTTGTTACCTTTATATACTTCAAAAGAGCGTGATGATGCCATATTCTAACAGAACTTGTTTCCTCAGTTTTACTTGTTCAATAATTCATACTTATTTATTCATTTAAAATAACTTTTAAATAAATAAATAAATAAATAAACTCAGATTTATTTATGAATTGTTAGCTTCTGTGCTATCTTTTATGCATTTATGTACATTCATGTCCTGAGCATCACACCTCTAACATTACCACAAGCATTCCATACACACACACACACACACACACACACATATACATACACATATATTAAACACCCAGTGAGCCGTCTTACATCCTCTTACTCCTGCTAATGTTGAAACATTTGCTAATAATTCCAGTTATTCTCACATATGCTTTAGTTCTATCATACACTGCTGTTATTGCATTCAGCAACCAATTGTAGGCTCCATATTTACCCCAAACATTCCACGATTCAAGACTGTTCACTTTAACATATACTTTCTTTGAATCAAAAAGTATACAGCAAATATTACTTTTTCACATTCATGCATTTTTCACTGACCTGTTTAAGAGCAAAAATCTGGTCTGCATGGTGCCTGTGTAAACCAACCCTAACTCTAAGGCTGCCAGACATAAAGCCTGGAGGGAAAAGAGAGGGGCTTAAAATGGAGCATCAGCAACATTTCGACCCACTGCCCAACTGTCTCTTCCATGGGGATGAATTGGGGGATTTTTTTTTATGCAGTCCCAAACTGGATCCAATCCATTTTCAAATTCAATCTTTTGCTGGCTTCTCCCATCATACAACATCTGGTTTTGTACAGTATTCAGAGAGTTATCCTGCTGATGGACAGAGTTATCCTACTCAGAGTTGAGAAAAGAGATGAAGAGTCCCAAACCACATAATTTCTTTCCAACATTCCATTGCATTGGACAGAATAAAAAGTAGGCATTGTTGATAAGGGGATGGCAGATGGTGATCAAACTGGAACATTTTCAAAGACTACAATACTTGATACTTTATATCAGGAGCAGTTAAGCCTGGTGTTCTTCAGGTGTTTTGGACAATGAATCTCAGTTTTTGGGCTCCTAGTTGCATCCCCTATATCAATCTTTTTTGTATGTATCTTTCATAAAATAATTCAGGAAATTTAGACAGTCTGATGAAGTCAGTTGATTTTCACTTCTGGGAAGCTTCATTTATTTTAACATATTTGATATTTCCTTTATTTGACATCTTGAATATATATTTTCTGGAGAAACTTTGAACTCTTTTTATGAAAACATGTATCTGTACATTGCTGCTTGAATGTGATAATTTTTATGAGAATTTCCTTTCAATTTATGACATAATACAGTCAAGAAAGAGTATCACTTTTCTAAAGAGAGCTCTACATGTATTACCGTTACTGGGCTTTTTTTTTATACGTTCAATCGTGTCCGATTCTTGGAGACTACCTGGACAAATCCCTGCAGTTTTTTTGGCAAGGTTTTTCAGAAATGGTTTGCCATTGCCTCCTTCCTAGGGCTGAGAAAAAGTGACCAGCTCAAGGTCTTCCAGCTGGCTTTGTGCCTAGGTGGGACTAGTACTCACAGTCTCCTGGTTTGTACCCTGATGCCTTAACCACTACACCAAGCTGGCTCTCTGGATGTATACATTTCCTCAATCTCTTGGGTAATGAGACATATTTAGAAATTGTGTTAAAATTTCTAGGCAATGATGAAAACTAAACATCACCAGAAACATTCTCTAAGCTCATGTAACCTTAGAGACTGTGAAAAATTGAGTTGGTACAGAGCAAAAAGCATTTTCAGAGACTTTATTATTATCTTCCTTCCTAGTGTAATCCTCCTCTGAAATGCCTGCAAGATGGGAAAAGCCTTGCTTCAGAACTTCACATTAAAGACCAAACAGATGTCCAATACCTTCAGTGGTTGAATGGGCGCCTGAAACTCCAGTGGCGGAGTTGTCACATTGAGCAGCAAGAACAATGCAAGCTCCTGCATAAGGTAATTAGGACTTGAATTGTAATAGTTTATATTTTGTGACACTATCCTTCTCTGGTCTTGATTCTATAATTTTCAAAAGAGATTTTAAAATAAAATAGGTTTTAAGATTGCGTCTTATCTGAATATTTTTTCAGCCAACATTTGTAGCAAGAAGAATGGATATATTTTCTTTTAGATAGTGATGATAGTTTTTTATATTCTAATTCTAAAGATTATGAGGTACTAAAACTAGATTGAAAGTTCATAAGCCTGAAGCCACTGTAGATTCATATTCAGCTTATTCTGATATAACAGTAAACCATAGTTTGGCATGATGAGTCCTGAGGAGCATCCAGCTTGGGCATTACCTCCCACACATGCTATAGTTCCAGATTTTAATTCATAGTTTAGCCATTAAGCTGAACTGAGAATTGGTTTGCAGCCAAGCCATGATTGAAATTTGGAGTCATACTACAAGAGGCCATAGTATTTTTAGGCTTATTTATATATCTTCAACATAATACAAATTATGTTGGGGGATTGAATAGCTACTGTGGAAGCCCCAAAAAAGATGCAACTTCTTTAAGGAGACTCTGAAAGTATATATGGTTTTATATCTGTATGATGTAAAATTACACATAACCTTTGACTTGCCCATTTTTCATTTGCCACTGTTCTTATTTCTGCACCCCTGAAATCAATCAATCTATCTATCTATCTATCTATCTATCTATCTATCTATCTATCTAT